TTGGACTGGATGGTCCTTGGGGTCTCTTCCAACTCTAGGATTCTGTGATCCTATGATTCTATGATTCAGTGGCTGAGCCAAAAGGAACTTTACTCTCCAAGTCTGTATGTCTAGAGTTGGCAGCTTTCGCAAGATGCTCCCTTTCCCTCTTATAGAACGAAAGCTCGTCCCACGAATAGAAAGTTGCACTGCTCTCCTAGCATGTGCACACATGCAGCATTGGCCCTTATTGGAAGCCTTGATTGATGGATGGTTTTACACATGCAAAGTGATGCCCTAGTTTTGCTGCCTTCTCCTTCCTTCCTTTGCAGCCTTTGCTGGAGCAGAACGCCTGCGATAATGGGGAATCCAGAGATGGAGCACAGAAGTATCGGGGTCTTTGCGTCCCTCTTTAGCTGGCAGACTACCACAAAACATTTAGGATGCATTTAGGATGGTGGCAGATCAGGGCTACCAAATGGCTAAAATTGGGCAGCAGGGTATGTGTGTGAGAGAGAGGGGGGGTTGCAGACGGCCAGAAATAGTGCAAATTGAGTCCACTTTTAGGGTTAGGCTTAGTGCTAGGGAATCACGGGAACTGTATTTTATTGTGGCACCAGAGCTCTCTGACAGAGAAGGCTCAATGTCTCAGGAAAAAAAAAAAAACAATTCCCATGATTCCCTAGCACTAACCCTAACCCTAAAAGTGGACTCAATTTGCACTATTTCTGGCAGTCTGCAACCCCCCAAAGAAAGGGAAAGGGTGCACCTACGTTGTTCAAAAGCGTGCAGTTTGGACACCCCTTTCAGTGCTGTCGCGCCATCCTATGGAATCCTGGGATTTGTAGTTTGGCAAGGTCTTTGCCTTCCCTGCCATGGAGTGCTGGTGCCTCACAAAACTACCAATCCCAGGACTCTACAGGATAGAGCCATGGCAGTTAAAAGTGGTGTCAAACTGCATTATTTCTCCACTGATGGAATTCAAAGATATAGCCATGTTAGTCTGTGGAATCAGTATGTAAAGAGATCTTGTAGCACCTTTGAGACTCACTGAAAGAAAGAAGTTGGAGCATGAGCTTTCGTAGACTTAAGTCTACTTCCTCAGATGCAGATGGTGGAGATGCATATGCATCTGAGGAAGTAGATCTAAGTCTACACAAGCTCCTGTTGCCAACTTCTTTCTCTGGTTGGTCTCAAAGATGCTACAAGAGCTCTTTACTTATTATTTCTACACTGTAGATGCACCCAGAGTTAGTTCTTCTGTCCATGGGGTGCAATCCAAAGGAAATCTCATCTGCACAAGACTCATTGTTATGACTAGGAGAAATGCAAGAGCACAATGAATTGTGTGCAAGAGAATTGCCCGTTGGATGGAGGACAGAGAGCAGGGGATATGAGTTTGCAGGAGCTGGGCAGAGCAGGAGAGGACAAGGGGCCTGGAGATGGCTCATCCATAGGGTCAACATGGGTCGAGACCAACGCAAAGGCAATTAACAGCAAAAGCTAAAGAATGCTTCCTAAAATGACTCCATCAAGCATGAAAGCTGTCGTAATGTGTCTCTATCCCACACATCTCCTGCACACTGAAAAGCCTAGGAGGAGAAGGGCCATGTAAATTTATGGCGCTATACAAATAAACGATCATCATCATCATCATCATCATGGCTCCTTTCCAAATCTGCCCTGTTCCTTTACTTGCACAGATTCCTTCCTGTGTGACGTCACATTTCTGGTATTATTAATACCAGTATGTATACAGATTGTTGCTGTTGTTCTGTGCCTTCAAGTTGTTTCCAACTGATGGTGACCCTAAGGCAAGCCTATCATGGGGTTTTCTCGGCAAGATTTGTTTAGAGGAGGTTTTGCCTGTTCCTTCCTTTGAGGCTGAGAGAGTGTGACTTGCATAACATCACCCAGTGGGTTTCCATGGCCAAGTGGAGTTTATCTATATCTATATCTATATTTACAAGCTAGTATGGTACAGCGATTTGAGCATTAGACTATATGACTCCGGAGACCAGGGGTTCGAAGTTATGTATGCTGGCTTAAGAATAAAGATGAGATTAAAAAGTAATATATAAATTATTACTAATGATATAAGGAGACCTATATCACTTCCATGTAAAAAAAATGCGCTACACTATTATTCACATTTTTGGTGATGTTGGTCTTGCTATTGTTATTATTGACTGAATCTGAGGGCTTGTGTGTGTGTGTTGTTTGCCTTTCAAGTAGTTTCCGACTTATGGTGACCCTTTCCCAGGGTTTTCTTGGCCAGTTTCTTCAGAGGATGGTTTCCACTGCCATCCTCTGAGGCTGAGAGACTGTGACTTGCCCAAGGTCAGCCAAGGGATTTCCATGGCCGAGCGGGCGTTTGAACCCTGGTCTCCAGAGGTCATAGTCCAACGCTCAAACCACTACACCACACTGCCTTGACGGACTGTGTGTTTATGTTGATATCCAGCTTTTTCTCTAAGGATTTCAAAGTGAGATATATGCAGTCCTCACAACAACCCTGAGAGGTAGTCACCATCCCAGTTAGGGATGAGTGGGGATTTGAACTGGGGTCACCCACCTCCTAATCTGACGCAATATTCACACCACAGGATGTTAATTCTGTGCCTTCGCTTGTAGGAAGTCTTGTGTCAAGTGGATCTAGAGCCTAAATACCCTAAAGTCACCAGATCCTGTCTGATCTTGGAAGCTAAGCAGGGTCAGCCCTGGTTAGGACTTGGATGAGGGACCGCCAATGAACACCATGTAGCTGCTGCAGGCTACATTTCAGAGGAAGGCACTGGCAAAACCACCTCTTAGGTACTCCTTAACAAAGAAAACCCCATGAAGTTGCCATAAGTCAACAGGCGACTTGAGAAAGCCATGGCTACTTGCTGTGGCTACTTGCAGAGTCCGACCTTGCCTCTAGTTTCAAACGTGACGCCAACTTTGTGAAGCTAATAACTCCCAACATTTGTTGGTTGGCATTTCGGGTGGAAGATATCATAGGGGCGCCCCCATTAAGCATACCAGATCCTCTGAGTTTGCTATCTCTGGTCTTGTTTTGCACCATCATTGGGATGCAAATGCATGTTGGCTTTTCCAGGACCGTTTCCATCTGAGGTGGCATCATCTTCCAATGGCTGGACCATCAGATGGCTTTCATCCAGGAGCTGGGGAACTCAAAAGACTAGCATTTGGTGAAAAACCAGTCAGTTGGAAGTAGGGTTGCCAGAGTGAGATCTGGATCAGGATCAGGATCGTGTTCCTTTAATGGTTGCATTGTTGTCGTTGTGTGCCTTCAAGTCGACTCTGACTTGGGACAACCCTAAGGTGAATGTTATTACATGGGTTTTCTTGGCAAGTTCTTTCAGAGGGGGTTTGCCATTGCCATCCTGAGGCTGAGACAGTGTGACTTGCCCAAGGTCACCCAGTGGGTTTCATGGCTGAGAAGGGGATCTGAACCCTGGTCTCCAGACGTCCAAAGTCATAACCCGACGCTCAAACCACTATGCCATATTGGCTCCCAATGACTCCTTAGAGAAGAGGGAATTTCAACAGGTATTGCTTGTTACCCGGTTGTGCAAAAGCAACGCCTCCTGAAATTCCTTCATCTACACAACCATTAAAGATTGTTGCCAATAAGCGGGATACAAATTATTATTATTATTATTATTATTATTATTATTATTATTATTATTATTATTAAAGGCACAGGTACCTTCTCCAGTTTTCATTCTGGCAACCCTAGAATTTGGGGGGTCAATATTAGACACATCACATAGCATCGATGAAGAAGCGTTCCCATCTAAACAATATTACTTTCTCAGAGATAAAACCGTGTCTTAGGATTTCAGCAGAGCCACCTTTGTGGGGTTTTTTTTGGGGCCGCATCCAGTGGCATATGAAGAATGAACTGAGCAGAAAGTGGAAGGTTTTTTGGAATTTTTTAAAAAGTAATTTGTCACCATTACTCATTACTCAGTGTTCAAAAACTAAGGCCCAAAACAGACTGCAGAAATAATCCAGTTTGAGACCACTTTATGTTCCTGAATTCTAGGAACTGTAGTTTTGGGAGACATTGAGCCTTCTCTGTCAGAGAGCTCTGGGGTCACAATAAACTACAATTCCCAGGATTCCCTAGCACTGAGCCAGGGCAGTTCAAGTGGTCTCAAACTGGATTATTTCTGCAGTGCATTTTGGACCTCCCTCATTCCCATGATTTCTTGCAATGTTGAAAAACGAATGTAGTTTGTTACTTGTTGCTCTACGGTAATTTCTTTTGTAGTTACATTCTTGAGTGAGAAACCATTTTAGGAATGGCAAGAGAATGTCACAAACTCCTATATATGTGTGTGTGTGTGTGTGTGTGTGTGTCTATATATATATATATATATATATATATATATATATATATATATACTGACCTTCTAAAATCAGATTGAACAAGAACTTGCAGGTGTACTTCCATTAGGCAATGGAGCAGATGCATCAGATGGTAGATGCCGCAAAAGTATTTTAAAATATGGTTACTTAAAGTGTTATTTTTAGTGGCAGGATTGGAGAGAGGTGTTTGCTGGATTTTCTAACTTGTGTGCTAAAAAAGACTCGTCTAGCAAAAATGTTGCTTTTGCTACTGAGCTCTTTGCGTTGAAGAGCTGTCAGATGGCGATCCGTTGTACAAAGATGTTCTCCATTTGGAAAACTACCCAAAGCAAACCCAGTGAAAGGTGATGAACCCTTAAAAAGGCAAGAAAAAAAAGACTGGAAATTGTCAAAAGCTACACAGTAAATTAACCAGGCAAGCCCATAGATCACCCCTAGTTAGAGTTATTCCTTCCATGGTGAGTGATATTGTATTTCTATTTAAATTATGGGAATTAATTCAAACTTGGCGCTTATCAGTTAGCAAGAGAGGCTTATAGTGGAGTGCTGTGTTTTAGTTGCTGTGTGCCTTCAAATTGTTTCTGGCTTATGGCAACCCTATCACAGGGTTTTCTGGGGCTGAGAGTGTGTGACTTGCCCATACTCTGCTCTGGAGCCACGACAAATGACAATTCCCAGAATTTCATAGCACTAAACCATGGCAGCAAAAGTGGTGTCGGACCGGATTATTTCTGCAGTACGGATGCAGCCTTCGAGGTGGCATTTTTGAATCTTGTACAACTCAGCACAAAAGTCAGAAACATACAAGCCATTGTATTCGCTATTCCCATGGATGGATGTGAGAGCTGGACAGTCAAGAAAGATGATAGGAAGAAAATCAATGCATTTGAGAGAATGTGGGGCTGGAGAAGAGAGAAGAACCGCTGGACATGATCCCTTTCCCTAATGCCATTCCCTTCTCCTTTTGTGTCACGTCTTTTTACATTGTAAACCTGAGGGCACGGAACTGCCTTATCAACAATTTATAAGCCGCTCTGAGAGCATTTCTAAAGAGCAGTGTATAATAATAATAATAATAATAATAATACTAATAATACTAATAATAATAATAATAATAATAATAATATTTCTGCTTCTCTTTCCTCGACAGGACTGTGAAGGCTTTGAGAAGTGTTGCACCAACGTCTGTGGCCTACGGAGCTGCGTCGCTGCCCGATACGCGGACGGAAGCCTCTCTTCGCTGGAGCAGGTGCAGGAGGCCACATGCGAGAGCTTTGTCTGCACCCAGCAGGGCTCAGACTGTGACATCTGGGATGGGCAGCCGGTCTGTAAGTGCAAGGACAGGTGCGAAAAGGAGCCCAACTTCACCTGTGCCTCGGACGGACTCACCTACTACAACAAGTGCTACATGGATGCCGAGGCCTGCATCCGGGGCATCAGCTTAGCCGTGGTGCCCTGCAAGTACATTTTCACCTGGCCCAACACCAGCCCGGTGCCAATGGAGACCACAGCTCACCCGACGCCTGGCACGGCTGCTGAGTTGCCCATCCCGCCTGCCCTCTACAACAACCCTTTCCACCAGTTGGTCTACGTGGGGGGCACCGTCAGCTTCCACTGCGACGTGAGCGGGCGGCCCCGTCCCGACATCACCTGGGAGAAGCAGAGCGACCACCAGGAAAACTTCATCATGCGGCCTGACCAAATGTATGGCAACGTGGTGGTCACCAACATTGGCCAGCTGGTGATCTACAATGCCCAGCTGGAGGATGCCGGGATCTACACTTGCACAGCCAGGAACTCTGCCGGACTCCTCCGAGCAGACTTTCCGCTCTCGGTTATCAAGAGGGAGCACTCCCGAGGAGAGCCCAGGGCGTCCAGCACCCCACAACTCCCGCCCGGGGAGTGCCTGAAGGAACCCGACAAACAGGAATGCCAGGCCTACCAGGTCCGCTGGCATTTTGACTCCAAGAAAGGCTCTTGCGCCACCTTCCGTTACGGTGGCTGCGGGGGAAACCAAAACCACTTTGATACCTATGAGGCATGTCAACTGGCCTGCGTCAGTAATGCGGTCAACCTGTGCACTCTTCCTATGGTGCAAGGGCCCTGTAAGAACTGGGAGGCGCGCTGGGCTTACAACCACCTGATGAAGCAGTGCCACTCATTCATCTACGGTGGTTGCGAGGGCAATGAGAACAACTTTGACAGCAAAGAGAGCTGCGAGGACGTCTGCCCCTTTCCCAAGACCTTGCAGTGCAAAGCCTGCCGCCTGAAGAGCAAGATGGTGCCGAGCCTGTGCCGCAGCGATTTCGCCATCGTCGGGCGGCTCATGGAGATCATCGAGGACCAGGACTCTGGGATTGCTCGCTTTGCGCTGGATGACGTCCTCAAGGATGAGAAGATGGGCCTGAAGTTCTTCAACATCAAGTATCTGGAGGTGACCTTGACGGAGATGGACTGGAACTGCCCTTGCCCCAATATGACCACGGAGGACGGGCCCCTGATCATCATGGGAGAGGTGCATGACGGCATGGCGGTGCTAGACCCCAACAGCTACGTCCGGACCGCCAACGACAAGCGGGTCAAGAAGATCTATGAGCTGCTTGAGAAGAAGACCTGCGAGTTGCTCAACCGATTCCAGGACTAACGTAGGTCCTTCTCCCTTGCAAAGGAGGGAGGGAGGACAGCCCAGATGTGTCTCTCTGCAAAAGACAGTCCTCCTCTGCTCATTTTGTTGCAGCTACATAGGACTGGACTGGCATCTGGCAGGGCACAGCTTCTCTTGCTGCTCTTGGAAGCTCTGCATCCCTCAATGCCCCAGTGCCCTGGTTGCTTGAGCAGAAATGGGGGATCCTGACTCCCATCCTCAACCCAGGCCAGTTCCATGGACCAGTCTCGTGTTTTTCACTGTTTTCCATTATTATCACTCTTCCGTTACTATGGGCTCTACTATCCTTGTAACTACCTACTGTCTGTTTTTTGTGTGTGTGTGTGTGAGCTGTAATTTATCTGCGTCTGCGATGCCCTTCTACCCCAATCACGCCTATGTGAAATA